TGCATATAGATTTCAGGCATACAAAAGGAAAGTTGTATCAATTTTTGTAGTGAAAATATTTTTTTAATTGTATCTGTTCTTATCAACTTGTTTTATCAATTTTGAAAAAGTATAGTTGTACACGAGTCGATCATGTCGTAGGGCGTAGGACCACCAACAACCTAAGAAGGCACGAGTCTCCCGCTAGTCTTGTGTCGGTGAATGATATTGTCATCCTACAGCTTTCATCTTATAGTTCATAAGGTCCCAGAATTGAGTCCTGGTGTTGTAGGATGAGGTATCATTCTGCTTTACCATGACACCGGCGTGCCTTTGTCATCATCGCCTTAAGCACCAAAACAAAATCGAACTACTTGTGACCTTGCTTGATGGTTTCACATATAGCAAAAAACTATATGTGTGCATTTATGTATCAGACATAAGCACCGAAAATCGGACCAAGAAGCAAGGAAAAAAAATAAAAATGGGGATGAGAGAAGAAGAACTGATCCACCTAAAACATCGAAAAGACGGAGAATGAATCAACTCTCAAAACTCATGACGAAAAGATCTGAAAAAAGAGGCCCCAAGATCCTTGAATCAATCTGAAAGGATATCACTTTCTCATTTTTTATAAGTGGATTATCACTTCCCAATCTTGTCTCGAGCAAGTCGAAACGGGCCCAAGTCAATGTGACAACTGTATACATGGCTTCACCACTAACTACCCATCCACACACACTCAAACCTGCATTCAAACGATATCCCAACTTCAATGTCAAACTCTCGAAACATCCTTTATGATATCAATTTAGATCAATCCTATGCTCTTCCAAAATAAAATTTCAAAGTCTTTCAGATTTCACAACTCGAACAAAAGGAAAGTAACCCAGGGACGACAACCACTTATACTTCCAAAATCATGCCAACATTAAAGCCATCCAATTTCAGACTTAATGAAAAGCTCCTTATATCAAATAAGCATGAAATCATCTGGCTTAAACCACATAGAGCTTACGATCAGGGTTAATAAACGACTGTTAAGGCTCTCGGCAAAAGCAACAAAGATAGGGATCAACTTCTAAGGCTCACGGCTAAGGCAACCAAAAGAACTACCAGCGGCTATTATGCTCCCTCGACATACATAAGAGGATGAATATAACAGTTGTAAATTTTGGGATGACAAACTTGATAAACCACATAGAAGCTTACGACCAGGGTTAATAAACGACTGCTAAGGCTCTCGGCAAATGCAACAAAGAGAGGGATCAACTTCTCAGGCTCACGGCTAAGGCAACCAAAAGAACTACCAGCGGCTATTATGCTCCCTCGACATACATAAGAGGATGAATATAACAGTTATAAATTTTGGGATGACAAACTTGATTCATCAATAAAATTCAAGCTAATCAAGTCCAACATAAAGAGTCAAATACCTCCAAATGACCCACCAACAAACTCACGGGTAAGACTAAGAAAAGGCACGGGCCAACTCCACTACAAGCTCTCAGGTAGGAGCAAAAAAAAAAGGCACAAAATAGTCCCTCAACCAGCTCTCGGGTAAAGGCCGGGACAAACGAAACCAGGCCCCCCCTCCAAACCAGTTTCTCGGGTAAGGGCCAAAGCAAGCAAAACCGAGCTCCAAGGGCAGCTAAGACCGAGCCACTCAAGGTCAAAACAGTGCCCGAGCATAGATTAAAACCCAAGCCTTAACAACAATTAAAACTCCAGCCACCTCAAGGTAAAACCGAGCCATCCAAAGCCAAAGAACAACCCACATGCCTTTGAAACATCAAGATATGGGGCCAATATACATCTTAAACAAAAACAACAGCATAGATAACATATTTGGGCCACCAACCTAACTATTCCAAGCATGAGATAATTTCCAACAAACATCTAAGCAGGCAATAAGCCCTACGAGGAGCTAAATCAAGCCATTAAAACAAGTTATAGGACTTTCCAAATTAAAGAAACTTTCTCATAGCATGTATTTCGAGAAGGGAAAAGCCGCAGGGAGCCAAAACCGAGCCATTCAAGGCCAAAACAAATCCACCTCAACATGTACTTCATATGGGAAGAATAACATGAAGTTGAGAATTATGCATAAATCTCAAAGCCAACATTTCAAGGCCTCCAAAAATTCTCTTCTTTTTTTTAACCAATACTTGAACGAAAAAAGAGTAATGATAAATCAAACACCAGGCCTTCAAGATAAGCTCAAAGTGACTATCAAAATAACCCCCTTTATAATGGGAGTAATAGTAATAAAGAGCTTTGATAGTTCATTCCAACATGCATTTTAAAAAGGAATTCTAGAGGAGCAAATCTCATTTCAAAGCTAACACCATGTCACTTACAAGTATTTCAAGCAAAAAGAAGGCAACCAATAACATATTGTATTTTCATTGATTCTAGCAAATAATCAGGACTAACTCCTAGAACATGCTAAAAAATCCTACTTTCATATGCTTGAATGATGAATATCACAAAATACATAAAGCACATTGGACTAGCATGCCATACCCGCCCAAAAATGCTCTTCTCAGTGCCCTGGCCGAACAAAATTGCGAGAAAGAGAGGCACAAAGGAGGGTAGAAGTACCTCTTTAATGCAGAACCAAAATAAATAAAAAAAAAACTTCAGAGAAACACCTCCTAGCTCGAACTCCTCTGCAACAACAAGAGGAGGTCAACCCAAGCACCAGGAACTAAAGAAGAATGTGTGAAAATTTTTTTGCAGAGTTTTCCCTCCCTCTCAGAAATTTTTCGGCCCCTGAAATGCTCCAAGTATAGCCTAATATAAACGAGAGAAAGAGAAAGAACGATCGAGAGATCACAAACGGCTCGAGGAAACAAACGGAGCAAACGCTCCATGCGGGCTGCTCGAGAGAGGCAGAGGGTAAGCTCTCGTAGAGGATAGGATCTGCGACAGTGATAAGGAATGGGGAGCCTGCGCTACGGTCGGGCGTGCGAGCAGGACGAGCGAGAGGAGCGCAGGAGTTTAACGGAGTTTAACGGGACTGGCGATAGACGGGCCAAACCGAACGAAGGAGATTAGGGTTTGGGGCCATCGGGTTTTAGAGAAAATAGGGAGAGGGGTATCAAGTATAGGAAATAATAATAATAATAATAATAATAATAATAATAATATGTCGTCGTAGTGAAACGAATGTCTCCTTTAGGTAAAATCGACGTTCCGGACGCGTCAGCGCAGTCCGTTTCGTCATCCGGGGTCGTCCGGACGTTGAAGTCGTTTAGGCAGCCTCGTCGACGATTGGGTCAAAAATGCATTCGATCCGATTGCCGTCAAAATCTTAATTCGAGCTCAATTAACCAGAACGGTGTGGATGGTTGTCACGAAGTGTTTGGAAAAGGTTCAGAATAATTTTGATTTGATTTGGGGGTTATGAATGGGGTGAAAGTAAGTAACAGTGAGTGAACAGCTCCAGACCAACATCCGGGGTCAACCCTAAGGTTAAGCGGTCCTATGAGAACTCATCTCAAGCTACTCTATATTGACCCCACCTACTAACTGCTAGAGGTTAGGACCAATATAGGGAACTTCAAGTTGAGCAAAAAGGAGTTTAGAATTTCTAAAGGTGAAGGTCCATTTTCTAGTCTTATAGGAATAGTCAACAGGAAAATCCAATGGCTAGACATTAGGCTACTAAAGAGAAAAAAAAATTAAACCTCAACCAAAAGTGAGGTCAACAAGGCCATATAGTGTGTTATTCTGGTTCGATCAACTTACACTTCATCTGCAATTGATCGAACTGCGCCGTAAACTTCTCCACTGATAGTTCTTTCTGTTGTAGGTGGTAGAGTTTTAAAAACATATCATGGCAATAAAGAGGTTGAAGGTATTTCCTATGCATTCTTCCGTCATCTTTTTTCATTCGGTAATCTTGTAACAATCTTCTCTCTTCCTTTACCTCTATAAGTTCTCCCACCACATGGAGGCGTTCTTTTTCAACTTGATGGCTGCTAGTTTTATTAGTTTATCCTCTGACATTTCCTTATACTCAAGGATTCGCTCAATAGATTCCAGCCAGTCGATGACAAGTCATCTAGATCCATGCCTCTATTGAACTCCGGTAGATCCACTTTGATGCCGAAATTTTTGTCCTCCTTACGTGATCTTCTCTCATGGTTTTCTCTGATACTAAATTTTGAGAAGTCATCTAGATCCATGCCTCCATTGAACTCCGCCAGATCCACTTTGATGCCGAACTTTTTGTCCTCCTTACGTGGTCTTCTCTCATGGTTTTCTCTGATACTAAATTTTGAAGCATCGGTGCCTCTATTCCTCATCACTGTCGTCTTTCCTATGGATCAGATTCAGATCCTCATCGCTATCTCCCCTTCGACTCTCGAGGTTGCAGTCGAGGGTAATTTTCCTCTAGTTTCCATCACCAATCTCTGCGAGCCTTTGTTAAAGCCGACGAATCTCCCGCTACATCTTGTCTCGGGTAGATTCTAGCATGTATCTCCTTGGTGGCATGATTAGGGTTTGGGATTGGAAGGGGTGGTTGAGGATTGGAAAGAAAAATTTTGATGGAGGAGGTATGGCGGATGTTGGGAAACCCAATGATAAGGTTAGGGTTAACCTATCTCTGATACCAAATGATACTGGATTTAATCCAAATCTCAATAACAAAAACAAATATTATTACTCAAAACAGATAGGGATACAATCAAGTCTCAAACGGAAATAATAAACACAACAAACATCAATATCCAATTAGGGCCAGTAGAAATATCCGAGGACAGCGGTGGCGATATATTGCTTGCAGTGTGGTTTTGATGGGCCCTATTTTGCCGCCATCATGCAGGATGATTATTTCTGCTGAGGATAAACTTAACATTGTTGCATTTGTTGTTAAAATCCCTGCTGAAAATACATACGTACATTGTAGGCTTTTTTGTTCCGAGCTAAGACAAGCTGAATTGTATTTCTTTTCTGGCAGTATGATTATAGTCCTGATGAGGAGTATGCAGAAACAGAGTTAAAGCTGCGATCTCACTTAGAATCTTTTCTGGAGACTGTTAGATCCTTCAATTTGATTTATACAAAGGTACTGGTGAACCTGCACTTGCTAATTTTCCAAATTCTTTACTTATTGATCTCTATGGGCTTTTGTAATAGACTAATTAGTTACCAAACCTGTCAACTGTAATCAATGAAAATGTGCTTTTTTGAGGTAAATTATAGGGACTTCTAAGACCATCTTCACTGAAAATAGTTACATCTAATATGTTCACTGGTTCCATTTTTAAACTAATTCATTTTAATGATAAGAATATTGATTCTCCTTATAGCCTACTAAGTGATTTTACTCTAGGAAATTCGGCCTTGGACTAATATGATGGAGGTGCCTCAATTGCATGGGTTTGGTCCTGCAGCTAATCGTTTGTTGGAGGCATACAACACCCTTCTAAAGGTTTTCCTTGAGCTTTCTTTTTCTGCTTGTCAAAATGTCTATTTTTAGCTATTTATCATGTCTGATTTTATCTTTTTTATGCTTTTCAACTTTTGTTTCTCTTGCATGTCATGGTTTTTAAACTATCATCATCATACATTGTCGTAACTCGGGTTTAGCTTTATAAATTACCTTTTTCTGTCACGTCTTGTTTAGTGTATGGGGTTGTAGTTATACAAAACTCCCCCTAGTTTGATATTTTTATGAAAAATAACAATAAACAAAACTCCCCTAGTTTGATATTTTTATGAAAAATAACAATAATTTCAAAATTTTGTGAAGAAGCATAAAGTTTACCCTATTTCACAAACAAGGAGAATTAATTCTATCCTTATGTTAGGGTTTTATGCATCCTTATCTATAATACTATGATTCTTATGAAACCCTGGCAGTTTGTCATGCATAGCAGGTTTTTAAAATAAATATATTGGATTTAATAATAAACTATAGCAGTTAATCTATAGCCAATCTTTCAATGTCATTGCGTAAGCCCATAGTGGGAGGCTGGAATCGATTCAAATAAATTGGTATTTTACACTCCTCCCAGATGAATCAATGGGCGATATTGATTTCAAGCTTACCTGATACTTGTAAAAGATCGCCCTCTATAAGTTCTTTTAATCAAGAATTTTAGCAAGTTATTCACTTGTGATTGTGAATTCAGTATAGATTAAACCATTGCCAAGCCTTTTTTTTATAAATTTGTTTGCAAACTTCAATATTTTTCTGTGCAGTCTTGGTGTACGAGATTATATGTAATATTGATGGCCTACTGGTTCCCTTGTACAGCCTCTTATTTCCTTTCCACTCAACTTTGAAATCTTCTAAAATAATTTCTAGCTCTTTCTATTCGTAGAATTTTATAACTTTGAACTCAGCTTCTTTGTGAGATTTTGCTTACATTTTTATTTTTATTTTCCAAGTTATGATGTTGTTCTTAATAATTTTGTATGACAAAAATATTGTAAGAGATGCTTAGTGAAAGTTTTTGTTATTTTATTAGTATGTTCGATATTTCCTCTAGCTGACTAAATGATAGATTGATTCGATTTTAACTAGCATTGATGGAGATGCTTTTTTTATTGAGTAAACTTATTATGGCTGAGGAGCAATACTTCACGTATTTGTTCAATTTAGGTATGAGTGGCTGGTTTGGTAATATATTTTTTTTGTTGAGATGATGAAAGGTTATGAATGGAAATATTGGAGTAAGAAATTATTTTTAAATATTTTTGCTTTATAGGATAAGTGAGTAAGAAAGTATGATCTTTTTCATTAAATGTTACATTAGCAGATATGTCACCTTTCTTGTGAGGGGATGATAATACTTGTATCCTTTTTGTGCTTTAGAATATCTAGTGAAGATGCATTTAATTTCTTTAGGATACCAGGTGATACCGTTCTAGGGCTCCTAGAAGGTTTTTGAGAAGATTTTTGTCATGATTCAGTCTGATAGCTTAGAATTAATAAAGTCAGGAACTGCGGTCTAGAAGGTTTTTGAGAAGATTTTTGTCATGATTCAGTCTGATAGCTTAGAATTAATAAAGTCAGGAACTGCGGTCAGAAGACATTAACATTTTATTTACTTCCTACATATTTTTTCAGAAAATTTCAATATATAAAGGACCTGGTAATAATCAACAAGGTGTACTGCACAAAAATCAAACATCCAGAAACAACATAGTCTGCTGCCATTTGAAACCAACACCAAACAGAATATCACAATATGAAGGAAAACAATGTAAAAAGAGATTATAAACACATCATAACATGATTCATATCAGATGTAGTCCTCCTATAAACTAAGAACTAAGTCTTTTTTGCCAAACATATCAACCTACAATTTTTCTTTTCCTGAAAGAAATAAATAATTTTAACAGTAAATTTAGCTTAGCAAGCAATTATACTCTTAATATGCATTAAATTCAAATGCAAATGCTATGTATGAATGATCAAAATAAAATGTGGTTCATATCTTTATAAAATTATAAACTTTCACTTTACAATTATCTATTCTTATTTCAAATTAAATATTTTTCATTTTTAATCTTTTTAAGAGTCATAACATGATTACCGTCATACCTAAATGTATCTTCAAAATTATACCAATAGGCATCCTCAAAATTTACACCCGAAGGTACACCTTTATTATTCATTTTTCTTGCACGGGTACATTACATCCCATGTCGGTACCATCTAGGGGTAATCATGTATAACTTAATTCTTATCATTTTATATCCATTAAAAATCCTTTAAAATGCACTTTTATATATCAATTATTTTTCTCCGATTTGTGAAGTATGTTTCAAACTTTCAAAATATAAGATGAGTGAAATATTTTCTCATAAATCGATTATTCAATTAATTAAACATTAATTTAATACATACAAAAAAAAATTACTCACCTATCTTATGAGACCTTTGTAAAAATTTATTTTTCACTTCACTCCTCTGTCAATTAAGGGTATATATAATTATAGGAATCCTATCCTAAAAGAAAGATTGATATATCAAATGACATAATTAAAATATCATCTAAAATAATTATATAATTTCTTACTTTAAAAGGTTTGGTTTGTTTCCTTGCACAAGATTCCTCTTTCCTCATATAGGAAGTTTGCGTCACTTCTTCTCCCTTAAATTTCGTGATTTAATAGCTTTGATCTTGATATCACATACATTTTAACTTTTAAATGATAGACTTAGTGTGTGTGTGTGCGTGTTGTTAAATAAATTAATTAATTAGAAACAATTATTAAAGCTTACACAACCAAAGACACATATACACATATATTAATTTAACTTATTTAAAACTTAAAATTTACCTTTTATACCTATGATCAGCTGCCCTAACTCACGCACGCAAGGCTCTCTCTTTTCCCTCTACTCCGGTCTGGCCAGTGCAACTCTCTTATCAAGTGGATAAGACAACCCATGAAGAAACTTTTAACTCTCAGCAGTTAGTTCTCAGCATCCATCAGACCTCCCCTAGAAATTGATCTGAGTTTGGGAATTCTTAATCTCTTAATCAGTTGAGCTTTTGTAGTCATCATCTCAACAAAAATATTCATGTTCACAGTACCGTGGGGATGTATCAAATTTTACTCTATCATCCATAGTTTTTTCCCCTTGGTTTTTTATATTTTTGTAATAACATAAGAAAGATTATAATTAGACACAATTTAAACTTTTATTAATATTACTTATTAAAAATATTCATGTTCACAGTACTGTGGGGATGTATCAAATTTTACTCAATCATCCATAGTTTTTTCTCCTTGATTTTTCATATTTTTGTAATAACATAAGAAAGATTATAATTAGACACAATTTAAACTTTTATTAATATTACTTATAAATTGATTCAATCATTCTAATGACTTTTTTTTATCATGATCCAACTTAGTTGCTCGTATATCACTTTTATCACAATCATGGCTGATAGCTTAGAATTAATTATCATGTATTGCGATCGAATGGTATTAACATTTCATTTCATTTTCATATATTTTTCAAAAACTTCTGATATATAAAAAAAAGTCACTAATAATCCACAAGTGTAAAAATTCAAAACATCTAGGACAACATAATCTTTAGTCAACATCGCAAACCAATATTAAATCTTTTATGACAATATAAAAGAAAACAGTGCAAAAAGAGAATACAAACACATCATAACATGATGCCTGTCAACTGTAGTCCTCTTCCTGTAAATTAAATCTTTTCAGCCAAATATATTAACCTACAACTATTATTTTTCTGAAAGAAACTATTAATTTCAATTGCAAGTTTAACTTAGTGAGAAATTATAATCTTAATAAATTTTAAATTTATATACAAATGTCATGTATGAATGCCCCAAAAAAATGCAGGTCATTTTTTTATAAAACTATAAAATTTCATTTTAGATTTATCTTTTATTGTTTTAATTTAAGTATTTATTTTTTTTAACCTCTTTAAGAGTTATAACATGATTAACATCATACTTGAAGGTCTCCTCAAAATTTTACCCATAGATACTCTCAAAATTTGCACATGAATGTACACCTTTATCATTTTCTTTATCGTGCATGGTTACATCGCATCTCAGGTCAGTATCATCTGAGAGTAATCTTGTATGAATTAATTTTTATTATTTCAAATCCATTAAAAATCCTTTAAAATGTACTATCATATGTAAGTTATTTTTTTCTCATGTGTGAAACATATTTCAAATTTCTAAAATGCAAGACATGAGTGAAATATTTTTTTTATTACAACAGTTAATAAAATAATTATTCATTTAATAAAACATTAATTTAATACACACAAAAAAATAATTACTCACTTTTTTTAAGTGGCCTTTTAAAACTTATTTCATCTCTTTACTCCATTGACTATCACCTCTGTCAATTAAAGGTGTATATAATTTTAAAAATCCTATCTAAAGAAAAGGCTTAATATATATCTAATGACATAATTAAAATAACAACTAAAATAGTTATGCAATTTCTTTTCTTAAAAGGTATGTTTTGCTTCTTTGCAGAAGATTTCTCTTTCCTTGTGCAGGAAGTTTGCGTCACCTCTTCTCCCTCATATTTTGTGATTTAATAGCTTCGATCCTGACATTACATACTCTTTAAATTTAACCTTTAAATATAAATATGTATGTCTGTATGTATGTCTGTATGTATGTATGTGTGTGTGTGTGTGTGTTTGTGTGTGTGTGTGTGTGTGTGTGTTTGTGTGAGTTATGTGTGTATGTCTGTGTGTATGTCTGTGTGTGTGTGTGTCTGTATGTATGTCTGTCTGTCTGTTTGTCTGTGTGTATGTATGTATGTATGTGTCTGTGTGTATGTATGTGTGTATGTTTGTATGTGTGTGTATGTGTGTGCATGTATGTATGTATGTATGTGCATGTGTGCATGCATGTGCATGTGTGCATGCATGTGTGCATGTGTGTGTGTATGTGCATGTGTGTCTGCATGTGTGTATATGTATGTGTGTGTGTATGGATGTGTGCATGTGTGTATGTATGTATGCGTGCGTGCGTGTGTGGATGTATGTATGTATGCGTGTATGCATGTGTGGATGTATGTATGTATGTCTGTGTGTGTGTGTGTGTATGTATGTGTGTCTGTATGTGTGTATGTCTGTGTATGTGTATGTTTGTGCGTGAGTGTGTGTGCATGTATGTTTGTGTGAGTGTTTGTATGTCTGTGTGTGCGTATGTATGTATGTTTGTTAGTGTGTATGTCTGTATGTGTGTCTGTATGTGTGTGTGTCTGTATGTATGTTTGTGTGTGTGTGCGTGTGTGTGTTATTAAATAACTTAATTAATTTAAA